TTTTTTAAACTTTTAGACCTTACATAACATTGCAAACAAGTATCAATTCCGAAATTTTACTACATTTCACTATTCTTTGGCCTCTTTGGGAATCCTTCCGTTTAGCTAAAAAATTAAAAAATTACTAAATTAACCAAAAAGTCAATAATTCATACAAAAAAATCAAAGATTTTCTTTTCTTTTTACTTTTTACACATTTTTTCGTAAAAAGTTAAAAAGTCGTCCCACACATACTAGTTTTTTTAATTCATATTTTAGCCAAATAGTCAAAAAAATTACTAAATTAGTATGTTCCTAAACGAGACCTTTGTGATAGAGGATATGTGAATAAAGTTACATGATTAACTTAATGAATGAAATATTTTTTTTTACTAAGCTCTTGTTTGGTAACATGGTTGAAACTAATTTAGTTCATTAAAAAATAAAATAGATTAAAAAGTTAATAAGATAAAATATCATATTCAAACCACAATTATATCACTTTTTTTTTCTCACAAAACTGTAAATAAAATTTAAAGTTCATCTAAAACGAAATTTTTTTAACAAGACAAGAAATAACCGAAAAATCAAATTAAAAAAATTCTCCTCAAACAGAACCTAAGCGTAATATTTGAATTCGACTCTATCCACTTAATTACACATTCAATTCTCTCTCCTATCAATTATACAAAAAATAATGCCTGTGAAAAATAGGTCAGAAAATTACAAAAGCGGTTGGTCCCCCACTTATTTGTAGAAAGAAAATTGATCAGTGTGTTTAGTTTGAATTTTTTGAATTAAGTTTTTTAAAAATTAAATTTTTTATTTTTTATATTTTTTTATTTTTAGTAAATATTTTTAAAATTTTAAGCATTTTTTTTTTTACTTTTGTAGATGCATCTTACTTATATATGTCTAAAAAATAAAATATTTGTGAAAAAATATTTTAAAAAATTAATAAATACACAAAAATACAAAAAATGTACTGAATTTTCATATATATATATATTTATATATTTTTGGTATTTAGTAAATTTTTTAAAGATTTTTTTTTACAAAAATTATATTTTTAAGTGTATTTATGTTAAGTGTGTCTAAAAATTAAAAAAATTACTGAAAATATTAAAAAAATTCAATAAAAACAAAAAAAAAATTGAAAAACAAGAAAGTAAATTTTTAAAAAAAAATTCAAACCAACCAAAATGAATAATTTTTATACTAAAGTGATATTTTCTCTTATAAAAATGTCCAAGTGACTTGAATGACAGCATCTAACAATTTCAACAAGAGAAATGAGGTATTGGAGCCCAAAGAGGACGGGGTTAGGTTGGATTAGATTGAGGTAGGGGCCTAACACCCTCCTCGATTGGAGCCCCCACATAGGTTTGCGTTGAAATTAAAATTTGTGATATGAGAGCTATAAAGCCCCTACCAAAGAACCTTTCAATTTTTTTTTTTTTTTTTTTTTTTTTTTTTTTTTGGGAGAAATCAACATGTGATCTAACACGCTATGTTAGTGGCAGGCCATACAATCCTTAATTCATGTTTTTCCTTTGGTTTATTGTGTGTATATGAGTTTAGGTGTTTGGAAAATTAGGGTAGCGTTTGATAAAGTTTTAAAATTATAATTTAAAAATAGAGTTATATTTTGAGTTTGTGAGTTTTGAAATTATAATTTGAAAATAAAAAATTTGTTTGGTTATAAATTTTGAAAAAAGTTTTGAATTTTTGATGTGACATATGAAATGAGAAAAGTTGTTTAATTATGAGTTTTAAAAAGAGTTTTCAAAACTTAATTGAAAAACTTATAACTCATAACCAAATACATAAACTTATAACTCATAACCAAATACATAATTCAAAATTTTATTGAAAATTTTATTTAAAACTCACAACCAAACTTTTTTAAAAATTCAATTCAAAAAAATAATTTGTCATTTTGGTTTAAAAAATAATTTCTATATCTAAAAAATATAAAAAACAAATATAACTTTTTTCCCTCAAATAACAGGTGGCGATTGGCAATTGTAAAAAAAAAAAAAAAAAAAAAAAAAATAAAGACCTAGGCTCGACATCCTTCGGATGTTCGGGCGAACAACTGGGTAGACTAAAAATTTAAAAACTGGCTGATTTACCAAATATATTTTCAAAATATGTTTTAAAATTAATTTGAAATCATAATTTAAAAACTTAAATCAAAACATAATATTAAAATGTAAGGATGAATTTAATTTTAAAAAGTTAAACCAAACACAGCCTAGGTCTTTGATAGTGAAACTAATGATAACATAAAGGTTGTGTTTGTTTAGGGAGTTTAGGCTATATTATTAGACTATGTATTTCGGTCAATTTTGAATATTATGTTTAATACAATAGTGGATATTTGGATGAACAGTTTTTCAGAATATATATATACATCCTAGATATAGAAGATTATCAAAATATCATTAAACTGTGGTTATACTAATTACCATTCTAATATAGGGACATTACAAACATGAGATATGACACAGAAAAAAGCTAAGTACATAGAAATAGTACACATAACCAGTTACAGATAAGATACAAAGGGTGGATCCCATCTGTGTGTGTGGGACTTACTTTTTGGCCCCGTTTGTTTGGGCTTATAGGAAGGGGATTGAGACTACTAATATCTTGGTATTACTAATACTTTGTTTGTTTTGAGAAATAGCCTTGGTAATACTCTTGGAAGGGGGATTCATAGTGAGGAGGTAGAGATGGTATTAGAAAAATAGAGAGGGGATTAAAAATTTTTTTATTTTTTATATATTGGGAATTTTTTTTAAAATATTAATGTTTAATTTTTATATTTTTTTATTTGTTTTATTATTTATTATTTTATATAAAAATAATTTAACAATTTCTCACTATTAATTCCCACACTATCAATCCCTTCCTTTCAATTGTGTGGGACTCACTATCAATGTCTTGTCTGTGATTAATTTTGGTACACCATTTTTGTGTTTGTAACAAAGTTCAATGACATAATTATAAGGAATTAATAAACTCAAGATTAGTAGTTTAATCTCGCGAAACAAATATGACAAAAACACAAAATAGACTGATTATCAACCCACGAGAAAATCACTATAGCTGCATATGATCAAGATCAACAAAATATCAAAGGTCCGTGTGCGAACATGTTGTGGAGGAGGAGGACTCGTGATAATTAACTTAAATGTTCTTTTAAAATACATTGCATGTGACATTTGACAAAAGAATACTCAAAGAATTACTCATAATGTGAGTTGGCTTAGCTATCATGAATTTGGAAATGGAGTTGGATACATCATTCTTATGGTGTAGGCCCAGTACCTAATAATTTTGGTAAAAATGCAAAGCCCGAATGATAATAGGTCCCTCTGCGATGATGGTGGTGGACAGGCAGCCTTACCATTTGAATTTGTTTTGGTGAAACCTTTTTCATATGCACACCTTTAACTCGTTTGTACTCTTTTTTTTTTTTTTTGGGTTTTAAAAATTATTTTTTTGTGGATCCCAAAAAAATAATACTAACAAACTGCCAATGATTGAGAGTTCTAATAGAGTTCCCAAAAAAAAAAAAGAAAAATATATATTTTGTAGACCAATAAATCTATGCTTATTATATTTTGTGGTTGGTTTACTTTTGCATAAAATTTATGAGACAAAAATATTTTAAGCAAAATTAAAAAAAAAATAATTATCAAAATGTTGGAGGATGGACATTGTTAACCTCTACATTAAGATTATCAGCTTTTAATTTGTCAGAATTTGCACCAAATAGGGTAATTTGAAAAGTTTTGGAGCATGTCAATGAACTTTCAAGACTTAAACCTTTGACCTCTATTTGTCAAAAAAATGTACTCAACAAATTAAATTTTTTTTTTTTGTAATCTGCAGTTGGGTAAATTCTTAGTTTGACAAGGCTTTCACAGGCCAATATGGGTTAATATTTTTATTTGAAGTCAAAAATTCAGGAGGCGAAAATGATTTGGGCTCCCTTGACAAAAGCCTTGATTGATTATGAAATATTCGGCCCAAAAGATCCAGATTTAACGTTAAACAGGCCGAGATTAGGCTAGCCTAGCCTAGCCTAGCCCATTTATTCATGGTTCAATCTGCGTATCATTAGATAGTTTGGGCCAGTTGAACAATGAGCTTGCATTCCAAACTTTTTGTCCCTAGTCTAAACCTTAAGAGTGTGTTCGGTTCATGAATTTTCGAAATAATTTGAAAAAAGAAAGGAAAAAAATAAGTGAAATATAACTGCATCATGTTTTCGTTTCACACCCTTTTTTTTTTCTCTTTCCAAATCCATCAACTAAACACATTCTAAAAAAAAAATAAAAAATAAAAACAAAATTTTCACTCAACAACATATTTTGGCAATTGAAATTGATTTACATGGTGTGAGAAGTAGATGAGAATTAACACAGGTTGAGATAATAAAAACATTGGACATGTGAATTGAAGTGAAATTAAGACTCTTGATCAAGTGAAATGGTTATTATAATTTTTGAAATTTATTTCATTTAATGTAATAGTTGTTAAAAAAAATTAAAATTTATTATTATTTTTTTATAATGTACTTGTTCAAAAGTTTTTTTTTTTTTTTTTTTTTTTTTTTTTTTTTTTTTTTTGCTTTTTTAATTTTTTAGTCAATTGATAGGAGAGCCAGAAGTTAGAAAATAATGTTAGAAAGGCACATATCTTTCTTGTCATCCAAACATAATTGTAACATTTTTTTTTCCATGTAGACCATCAAAATATAGTAAACAAAATTTGGGTTAATTAGTCATTAATTATGTACCAATGTAGTATACAACAATAAGATTGCGTTTGGATTAATGAATTTTTAATGAAAGAATTAAGAATTAAACATTAATTATCTAAGGAGAATAAATGAGTTAAATTTATAGTTGATAATATAGATTTCAAGTTCAATAAAAATGCTTTCGGATGATGAATATGAAACAACAATAGGAAAATAGAAAGCTAAATTGATTGGATTATCAACATGGAGAAATATGCTTTTCAATCTTCATAAAGTATGATAACCGTTTCATGCTAAAGAAGTACAAAACACTTCCATTTCTTGCGCAAGTATAAAATATTTGGAATATACTAAACACGTAGAATTTCTATAGAAAAAATTCATACAGAATGATGTATCAGTGGTGTTTTTGGAATATAAATCAGCTTTTCAACTTTGGATTTAAATAGGTCGACATCATTCCATTTGAAATTTTTGTATATAAATTCGATTTGTATAGCATTATTATTATTTTTATTACTATTATTATCATTATTATTATTATTATTATTATTTTGGTTTTATGATTACTAGGCCTTGCTACAATCTATGGCTCTAATATCTTGTTGACATAAACCGCATCAGAGCAGAAGCTTTTTTGAACTTCAAGTGCTAGTTCCTCCACACTCAACTGGCACTCCAGCCCGATCTGTAACAGTTCAATTCTCAAAATTATCAGAAAATTAAATAATTAGAAAGAAAGAAACACAAAGCTCTTGTTAAATTTCATGCAGGCCCAATAAAAAAAAAATAAAAAATAAAAAATCATGTAGGCATAAATTAGTGATAGGAAAGTACACTATCAGTCATTTTAGCAAAGCCAAATAAATAAATAAATAAGAAAAAAAGGTGCATTATCTACTTGAAACTAATTAAAATTTCATAATTGTCCACTGATAAGTGAGAAATGTATTCAATATCATTAATTTTGTTAAAATTTTGAAGATATTCAATTCAAAATCAATTAATAATGGGTGAAAGTAATGATGAGATGAAATAGACTTGATTCGTGTGATATAGACTCGAAATAGATTTGATTCACGTGACATCAAAAAGTAATTGTCATATCATTTTAGAATTTTGGAAGTAAAACCAATATTTAGTAATAGGTATATAAACTGATAATACTATATTATAATTTTAAAGATATCATACTCAAAACCAATTGATAATAAATTTATGAACCAAGAAAACATATTACATTGTAACAGTAGTTGTTCAAAAATATTGTAATCACATTCATCATATTGCCTTGAACCTAGTAAAAACATGGTGTATGGCTGATCTTGCTTCAATATTTTGATATGTACAATGGGACCTGTATGTATCACCGTAGGTATGATGTATGCATAATAGACTTCCATGCATGTGGTGCACATGAATATGAACAACATAACAAAACATAAGAATCATAAAATGGTAATCCTTACTTGTTATTAAGAGTTTAGAAAAACACAGAGAAATTAATGTTGTCTCCAAATTTTCACTTTTTTCCGTTATCATATAGTCTATGAGAGTCTTTAACAATGTTATAAGTCTTGACTGACATACTGTATTGTCAATATTGATACATATAATGACGTTATTATTAAAAATCATGATATGATCATATACCTTGATGACAAAGGAATAAAGGACAGTGTCTTCCATGCTACTAATGTTCAAATGAAGAATCTCAAAAGAAAACTTCTCCAACACATTGATTATCCTCACAATTTGTCCTGGGATTCGCCGCGAAACCGTCCTCAAAATAACATTCGATCCAGAAATCTTTGCCTCCACATCGGCGACCAGGGAGTTGCAGCATGCTCCGAGGCCAAGCTCCTTGACATTTTCAGTCCCAAAGGGGCTATCAGGCGGCTGGGGAGGAGTTAGCTGCAGTGACCTTGGACTTGGACCAGGGCTAGGGCTTAGACTCTTCCTTTGTTTTTTAGACTCCAAGGATTGTAGAACTTGGTGCAACTCCTTGATGAATTCTATTACACCCCCTATGATTGATGCTTGGTCTCCCTAATTCATATGATCATAGAAATAAAGATTCAAGTTCGAGAATATATATGTATGTAAACATGTTTTCATTTCATTTAGGGTTAATTACACTTTATCTCAAGTTATAAATTTATTATTTTTGTTGTATGTCGTTAATAAAGTTGATAGGAATTAACATTTGAGTTGCAAGTAAATTTTTCTTACCAAAATATAAGTAAAATCAACCATCTTTTCTATCATCATTGCAATTTTATCAAAATTTTATTTTGCTCCTCAAAATCAGTATTTTTTTAACTCACTAGCACCATTATACTTTTGTCAAAATTTTAATTTGAATTATTCACTTCATGTATGATTCACAAGCCAATTTTCGTCAACATTATTAATAATACACGAATATAATGGTGACACATTATAATTTAATTCAAAAATGTGAAAATTAAAAGGCTATAGTAATTTTTTTGTGAGAGTAAAAAGAGGTGATAATAACACTTCATTTATCTACAAGGGTTGTGTGTGCAGAGAGAGAGGGAGAAAAGTACCCTCTTGATGTAGAAACATGGAGTCAAGGACCTCAAAACCTTCAGATGTTCATTCATCTGTCTTCTTCTGTTTCTCTCCACTGCTATGTGAGACATGTTTTGGTTGTTCACAACAATCAAACTCTTCTGTATTGCTTTATTTCTTGACCTAGTTATTCTCATCTCCATGCTACTCCCTCTCTCTCTTCCTCTATTTATAGGCAACTGGGTTGCCTTTTCTCCAATCTTGAATGGTCTAGTTCGATCAGTGAGCTCATCACAGCTCTTACACTTTAATGTTCAAATTCGTTTCTTTTTAAATCATTATTTATAAATTATCCACGGAAAAAAAAAAATTAAATTAATATAATAATTATATTCATATAATTTAATCATATTTATCTTAGAAAAAAAGAGAACGTTTTATTTTATATTTGCCGTACATTTTTTTCTAATCAACTATGTTGAAATAGTGTCTCAAATTATTAGATCATTATGATTTTTTCATTTATAAATGATTTATAAAATATATGAATTGAATTAACGAAGTGAGAACCGTAGTGGGTCAATAAGCTTGAACTGGATTGATTTGATTGATTGTGTGGACGAGAAACAATCCCAACCCAATTGAAAAATTATTGGAAGTTGGGAGAATGATTTTCAACGATCACAAATACGTATATTCTTATGGAAAATGTTTGGACCTCCACAAAGAAGGATCTCTACGACCCCTATTGATATATTGATCATTAATGTGTTTGAATTTTTTTTGAGAATTGTGTCTGACAGTGATATGAATGGTTCAGATTATTTTGGGGTCGTGAGGATTGTGTTTTATGGGGGGTCTCTTTCATTACTGATATTCTTATTGTCTCTCAAATATCAACATAAATACAGTAAGCTTCATTATCAAATCAACAAAAACAAAAACAAAAAAAATGTATCGGATGATATTTACAACCTATCCGCACTTAAAAATTTCTCGAACCCTAATGTTGTATTTGGTTTGAAAATTTGGGAAGAGATTTTAAAAGGGAAAGAAAATAGTAGGTAAAATGAAAATAAAACATACATATATTTCACATAATTTCATACATATTTTTTCTTTTTATTTCCAAATTCTTTCTTACATCTCCCAACCAAACACAGTACAAGGCCACTACTAAAGGAAAGAAAATAATTACACCTAGGTTGATATCTCTAAATACTTGTAGCTTCTTATTAAATGCAATATGTTGCACTCCCGTGAGGCTAGTTTTACTGTCTCCCTCTCTCTCTCTCTAATGTATATATTACTACTTCTCACGTTTATTATCTTGGGACAATTACGTAGGTGGTGTGAGTTAAAAGAAGGTGAAGAAATGTATATATTATACTTTCATCTTTGTCATGCACAATACCTGTCCCTTCTCCTCGTCATGCATGCCATGCTTCGTTCTTCATCTCTCCTATCTGCAACTTTGTCTCCTACCTATCCATTTCCCCAAAATAATTTTAGACCTAAGTCAACAATCTGTGTCTTTTTTGCATCCTGATGATGATTCTGGAATAATTTTATATGCAAAGAACATGATCTTTTATTTGGATAGATATATTACCACAGTTAGAAAAATGTATGTAGGTACATGATTGAAAAATGAATATGACTATGGTTACTAAGTTAAATACCTTCACAAGTCTCCATGTCATGTCTTTAATGGCTGAACCACAATTTTGTTGGTTTCTTGTGTTAGGATGGTTTACAGTCAATATGGCTAGTTCAGGTGCTATAAAGGTTTATTTATTTATTTATTATGGCTGATGATTTAAAAAAATTCTCAACGGCAATACTCAATTCTTGTTAAGAATCGTTAGATATTCTCAATTGATATTCCCAATTCTATTATGTCATAATTGATACTAGATTCTAGATATTCTCAATTGATATTTCTATTATGCCATGATTGATATTACGATTTTACATATCGCTATTTAAAACTTGATTGCAACTTAACAACTGAGTAACGTTACACTATCCCAAAGTCATGAAAAAAAGAAATAAGCATTAGAAACTGAAATTGCAGTTACTGTATGGTTTATTTAGGACTATTTTTTTGAAATACTTCATGTAATTTTTGCTTATATGAAGTAAAAATATTTTAAATAAATTAATAATAATAATAATTATAAGTTGGAGAATAGTTACTTCTAGCTTCTATTATTTATTTATTAGCTTAATAGTGCATTTATATAGCATTTGTGATTCATATTGGCCCCACTTTGGTAACTGTTCAAATCGTGACTGCCCCAAAATCTTGCCCTTCTGGTTTCACGAAGGAGAAATTATTAGTTGGTTTTGGGCACCGCGACGCATTGTTCTATGTGTTTTGATTAGTGAAAAAGATAATATTTATAATTTTGTATTGAGTGATTAAAAAATATAAAAGGATGTGAGGGTTTGTAATTGATCTGGGGCATAATAACCTTGGACCAACCAATAATTTCTATTTCATGAAAAGCACCAAATAATCATATGTAAATAAATAAAAAAATTATAAAGAGCGAAAAAAGAAAGAAAAAAAAAAAAAGAACACCCAGTTCAGTCCCCTTATAGGGTTTGGGAGGAATAGATTGGATGCAAACTTAGATAACATTTGGTTCACTTTTCAAAATTTAATTTTGTTTAAAAAAAAAAAAGAACACCCAGTTTAGTCCCCTTATAGGGTTTGGGAGGAATAGATTAGATGCAAACTTAGATAACATTTGGTTTACTTTTCAAAATTTAATTTTGTTTTTAAATTAGAACTTAAATAAAGTAAGCTAATCAAACATATTTTTAAAATACTACTCAAAATTAAGGTTGTGCGTGAATTGGTTGCGGTCACGAAACCTCTAATTCATTATTCGTCCGCCAGATTGATAGATTGGAGAAAATCAAGCCGTATCCGTTCGCCAATCCAACGGATGTGAATTGAGCAAATTAGCGGATGGATGCGAATCAGTTTGGCAGTTTAAAATTTTATAAATTTTCAACATAGTTCAACTTGTACATTTTCTCAAAAAAAAAAAAAATTACAGTCAATGACTTAAAAAAATATTACAATCACTACATGCCTTATTTAAAGAAAGAAAGTTTAAAACTTTAGAATATTACAATCACTACATGTGTTATCCACATATTACAATCATTGCATATTACAATCTGTAGTTCTTAAAATATAAAAACAGTTCAAACCATCAAAACCACGAACAAAGTAGTAGTAGAGATTTTATGCATCTGTATTGTTACATCTATATTTGTTTTTTAAAACAAAAACCAATCATCATATATCATATTTTTTATTTATTATTTTTAGAGTTAGATTTAAAAACTAAAAAATATAGATAAATAATACATTTATTTTTTTCAATTCAAAAAATATATTTAAGTTGAAAACTCTTTTTCAAGAGAACATATTCAACATAACATTTAAATTATTTTTCAATTGAAAACACAAACAAAATATCTAAACAAATTGAGAATATAAAATCTTACAAATTACTAGGGGTGCTTGCGGTTTAACGATTCGATTGCGACCAAAGGAACCTCAAATCTACCATCCGTCCAAAACTAAGTGGATTCGAAAAAATAATCCGCAACCGTCTGTTCGTCATCACACATCCCTCCAAAATGCGGCGGATCGGTTCGGTTTAGTTGGTTTAGGCGGATCGGTATATTTGCTGCTCACCCCGGTTTGGTTCGGTCGGTTTTGGCGGATCGGTATGTCTGCTGCTTACCCCTACCGATATGCCAAAACTGACCGAACCGAACCGATCCGCCGCATTTTGGATGGATGCGTGATGACGAGCGGACGGTTGCAGATTGATTTTCTCCAATCCGCCAATTTGGCAGATGGATGGCGGATTTGAGGTTCTTTTGGCCGCAACCGAACCGCCAAACCACGAGCGCCCTTAGTAATTTATAAGACTTTGTATTTTCAATTTGTTTAAATATTTTGTTTGTGTTTTCAATTGAAAAATAGTTCAAATATTCTATTGAAAAAAAGTTTTCAACTTAAATATATTTTTTGAATTGAAAAAAATAAACGTATTATTTATCTATATTTTTGGGTTTTTAAATCTAACTTTAAAAGTAATAACTAGAAAATATGATATATACTGGTTGGTTTTTGTTTTAAAAAACATATATAAATGTAACAATACAGAGACATACAATCTCTACTATTGCTCTGTTCATAATTTTGGTGGTTTGAATTGTTTTTATATTTTAAGAACCACATATTGTAATATTTTATGTGGATGATGCATGCAATGATTGTGATATTCTAAAGTTTCAAATTTTCTTTTTTTGGATGAGGCATGCAGTAATTGTAATACTTTTTTAAGTCATTGACTATAATACTTTTTTTTTTTTTTATACGAGTTAAAAGTTTAAGGACTAATAATGTAATTTTTCCAGGGAATAAGTACTGGGAATTATGGGATGACCTCGGTGTTGGGCTGCTTTGAGACTCCTTAACCTCAAGATGCCCTTAGCCTTGTGCCAATCCTTTTTCTAAGCCTGTTGGGTTGGGTCGGGTCAACAACAAAGAAAAAAAAGAACTTGGGTAGCAATTTTGAAGCTGCAATAGTTGGGACTGAGGATGTCAATCTTTATCATTTTTTAAGGTATGTTGAAAATTGATGCTCCTTCATTAACCACATGAACTACATAAGTTAATGTGTATCCATTCTAAAGTACTTCAAGAATTTTTAGAATCAGTCACGAATCCTTTACTCTCAAAATTCTTATTTTATGTCATGAATGTCTTCCTAATTAATCACACAATTGTGTTGAAAATTTTCATATTTTGATATTCTAATTGTTGACATTGAGGTTGCATTGATGGCAAAAGAAAAAAATAAAATGACAACATATAATATAAGAGAAATTACTGATCAGTAGGATCAGAAAAAATTATTTTATAGAAAAGTAAAAAATATTATAACTATTAATAATTAAAATCATAATATTTTTTTTTTTTTCACTTTTTTGTAAATAATTTCTCGGATCCCCACTTATCAGTAATTTCCCCTCTATATTATTGCTGCTACAAATCACCATTTGATGATACTCTGTAAATCAAATATTTGATTATTGTTGTGCCTAATCAGAAAGGGAAAAATAGGAAACAAAAAGATGTTTGGCATGGGAGGCAGTCTATAAACTACGCTGCCCTGCCGAGAAGGAAAGTGAGCGGCCACTCCAATATTTGGTCCAAACATGGAGCTCGAACAAATAAAACCCGATCAAAAAGTGAACCATGTCGAGGGGGTGTTCACAACTAGTGGAATTGAGAATTGCTGGATGGACGAGGGGCACAATCTCACCAAGACAGGGGCAACATGTGCACAAAGCTCGCAACAATAATAGAAGCAAATACAAAAGAGAATTCTTCCACAAAGACTAAGGTCCATGATCATTTGCACCTAAACTAACAGTTATATTGGGCGTTCAACTTGCACCTACTAACTTTTTGAGCGTCAGAGTCCCCCCCGACTGATCAACTCCACTGGTTAGTACTCACATGTTTGTGATTGCGTGCTACCTGAAAGTTGCCGAAGTTCGTGCTCATCGTCTCTTAACTAATGTGGTTAGATTTTTCTCCACACATTTGAGTAGTGGTATTGCACTGGTAGGGTGATTGCCAGAGGTCTCTATTATTTTTCTTCCAGGATGCTTCAAGTATAAATCCAAGTGCTTTCAGTGCTCACGTTTGACATTAATCATAAGTTAAAATTCTCCATATCTCTGCTAAAATACTGTATGTAAAAAAAATAAATGAAAGCTAATTTGGAGCCATTTCAAATTTAGATTAAGTTGCAAATTCCAAACAGCCTTGCTTTTTCAAACTGTCACTGATTGATTAGTGCTAGAGTAATATGTCAATCAACAGTCTGCTGCTCGTATATCATTTTTCAATTATAAGCTTTAGTAGCAGTCTCATGTACTGAAATGCTCCTTTTCATGTAACCATTGAGAATTTGAAGAATTGAACATCAAAAGAATCTCTTTGACAATTTCATATGCTAAATCATCAACATATGCCAATTCATCTAGTAAACATTGTTCTATTTAATTTTTTTGACAAGCCAACACCGAATAGCCTTAGAGCTTTACCCCACAAGCCTTTCCAATCTTCGTTCCTGCATTCTATTCAAAAGTTGCTTTACAATCGGTGCAACCAACGGAGAAATAACCGAAGAAATGGGACATTGTAACTAAAAATGGTAATGCTCAGGGAACAAATGTGAGGCAAATCATACAAGTTACAAAACATAGGCATGGAAAGCATGATGATATTGTTTGAGACTTTATCAAGCAATAAATGGGAGAAAAATAGAACTATTTTTAAGGTTCCTAAATTACCCTGATCTAAAGTTCAATAAGATAATCTTGAGGAGAATAAATCATCAAGTAGAACATTAAGTGACTTGAGGATAATAAATCATCAATTATGGCAGTGGAAGTTCGTAAATTCAAAACTATTCAACTGCAACAATAATAACACTGTCAAAATACTCGAAACTTGTGAGGGACTAATAGTAGAAACAACTTTCAGCTATTGGGAACCAGAGCTTTGCAAACACTTGCAGAGGGGAGGTAGCACTAAGCGCCTAGAACTATACTATGTCCAGCTAAATTTTCTTAATAGTAAACAGGATCTTGCCAAATAATAGTGATCAACTTTCACCTACAACAGCAAAAGCCTACCTGGTTAAAGAAATTCTAACAACATTGATGATTACAGGAGAATACAATGAACTCAGTTGACAAAGACTTGAAGGGCTCTCTCTATCTCCCAGTGATTCCTCAATCATGACAAAAGTTGAACATCACTAGTTTTCTTTCGTTTTTTCCTTGATCTTTTTTATTTTGTTATTTTTTATAATTAGGAATGATTTGTGAACTTCATATTTCCACTTTTAATTTTCATTGCTTAACTGCCATCGCTTGACACTATCACCCATTTCTTGTTCTTAAGCAACTTCAAGACCATTTTGAAACATTTTCATATTTAAGACGGACACGGTTAAGAACACTCTTTAAAAAAGGAAATTTCTCTAACCTTCCACATCAACATTTTGAACATTGAAAAGGGACAAGAAGAATCAACTATATAGGTAAGGATGAAATATAGAACCACTCTGTTTGATTCAGTGAGAAGTATGTCCCCAAGGACCATGTACCTCGAAGAGATTTCTCAAATTCATGTAGCTGAGACATAAAACCAGAGTTTGGAGCTGCCACAGGTCGCTTACTTCTCACATGTTCCAAAGCTTCAGAAAGGCTCATACCACGCTTTTTCATTAGATAAGCAACAACAATAGTCACACTGCAAGGTAGAACAAACAAACTAAATTCATGGAAATTCAAAATAGTAAAGAAATGTTCTCACTGAAGCAACAATTACCAGGTGTTATTGGCTGTGAAAAGTTATTAGAATAATGAAATTAAACTAATAAATATTAAGGAAAAACAATATGCAACTGGTTGTTATATATTTAAGTCCTAATACATTTCTATAAGACCACTTTATTATTCTACAAAATGTCATTTACGGAGTTTTTTTCTTCTTCTTCATATTCTCCCTTTTAATTTTTTTTTTCCACCCCCACTTCTGCAATTACCATCAAAGTTCTTGAGAATATAAACCTCAATTAGGAAAATAACAAAGGGCAAAGGAAATGCCCACCACGTGTAATTTAATGATAATCAGTTCAACAATTGCTCACCAATGCAAGAAGTTAGATTTAAAAAGGATAAACCAAACTCTGGTAAAGTAAAAGTGCAATATACATTAACAGAGCTAAACAAAAGCATACCAGTGATCTACCTGGCTAGCCTCATTTACAACAACATTCAAAGCATTAGATGAATGTGGTGTATCAGTCTTGTGATTGATAAAAATATTTCAAAGTTCATAGGTGTTTAATTTCAATCCCCACCATGACTATAGAGGATTCATAGAACTATTATCCACAATCTAAGTGCAGGTTTAATATTTAAGGACCAAGAGATGTGGGGTATTAACCATTCTACAATATTTCTTCACTAGACATACAACATAATCCCTGAAAAGCAAGCAAGGTAAATTAAAGCTACGAAAAATCACCTTCTAGATATTCCAGCAAAACAATGAACCATCACACCACCATGCATTCTTTTAGCTCCATCGATGAAATTGAAACACTCATCAAAATACTGTGCTATATTTATGTCTGCTCTGTCTGGGACTACATCAATCCACAAACAATGACATAGATTATTATGAACTCTGGTCATAGAAAGCTCAAGGTGGTTTCAACCATTAAATAACATCATAAATTTCTATTTGACTAGAACATGAGAAACTCAGCATAAACAGTAACAATATAACCATAATACTGCAATAAATTGAAGAAGAAAAGAAAACTAGTAGAACAAAATGTATGAAAGTGAAACTAAAACAACTTCAAGGAAACATATGGTTGAACCCCAGCTTTCCTAGGGAGATTGAATAGGGGATGAAGGACTTCCTCAAAGGTAATTTAAACATGCAATGTAGATATAACTTAACAACTGATTTCAATAAGACAAAATAATTCATTATATTCAAGGATCATATATCTTAAAAAGATGTCAGTTCAAAAGAAGAACACCAATCCACAGAAATTGCTAGGAAAAGAAAACCAGAACACAAAAATTGCTTACCAGTAACTACTTTGTATACAAAGTCATTAGGATGAGCCGGTCCCAATGAATTGGCCACAGTTAAAATGTGAGTAACATTCAAGCTTTTCAATGCAGTTTTGTTAACTGTAGCTCCAACAGAACCTAGGTAGAGACCCTGAAAAATTAAATTGTCACTGTGAAAGGAAAATCCCACATCAATGAAGAAACTAACAGGAAAATCTAAAAAATAAACAAATTAAGCACTAAACAAAAAATTATCAACTCACATTTATTTACCTCTTCAATTTGGCAAGGAACATCACTGTCTTTAATGCATGTCATCGCATACATCGCCCGCCAAGCTGCTGCAATTGGTTCCTTACAAATTTCATCAATTCGATCCATTGCTACGAAGGAAACTTTATTTTCCCTCTCTCTCTCTCCCCTTATGAAACTCTTAGAACAGCCAATACTTTTAGTCTCTCTTTCCTCTATTCGTAAATTTCTTCAAACCTAGAAATTGTTTGTATCAGGTTCCCACTCCCGCGAAGTGTCAACCTGCAGCACATCCTAATGGAGGTGCCAAGAACAATAGCGTAGATCATATGTCGAAAGTCAAATTACGACTTTTATTGAAGAGGTTCCAAATCCCAAATATCATCTTTCATTCATATTATATTAGAGGTTGCAATTTCAGGCATAAAATCACTATATTGCGCTTTACATCCATGTCAAGATAAGTAACAATAATTATTGGAAGAGACTGGCATAATATCAAAACAATATAGAAAAATAAGATCATTCAGTGTAATCCTATCCTAACAATGCTCTCTTCCTTGTGAGTGAGTGTTCACGAAAACAAGAACAAAATTGCATCAAACAGACTCTTTGCACTTGTCAATGGGAGCACTAAATCCCAAAATTTTATCAATATTGATTTGCAAGAAAAGCATGTTACTCAAACCAATCACTGAGTTGCAATTGAATTACGAGTCCCATGAATTACGAATCTTCGCACTTTCACCTTAGGGTTCCTGATCAAACTCACGATCATTGATTATACGTATACATATACGCAATTAATTCAACAAGACTAATTCTAATCAACAAGAAAACGAAAAGCAATATAAAAAAATAAAAAATAAAAACCTAGAAAATTGAAATTCTCATCAAACAAGGTGAAAAAATAGAGAGACAATCATTGTGTCAATAAAAGAAACAAAAATCACTAACAAATTTAGTCGCCTGAAGAACTGAGATCAGAGACTGGTGAGATGCTTCACAAAAAACGAGAGGTGTGTTTTTAGAGCCGGGCAAATTACACTAGTACCTCTAGTTTAGAGCCGCATACTGACTTTCTAATCGGAACATATTTAATTTTAAATTTTGAATTTTATTTTAAAAGAAGATAATTAAAGATATTATTGTTTAATTTTAAGAATAAATTTGTTAATTTAATAAAATATAAATTAATTTGATAAAAATAAATGTCAAAAAAATATTTTAAATTTTTAAAAAATTATTTTTATCCACCAACGATAAAATTATGTAAAATTGATAAAAATTAATAAAAATTACATGATTAATTTTTAAAAATTAATTTTACATGATCATCATCCAAACACATAATAAAAATTAATTTGGTAAAAAAAAAATATAAATGTCTAAAAGATTTATCAATTTTACATAATTTTATTTTTAGTGCGTAGAAATAATTTTTAAAAATTCAAAAATATTTGTTTGACATTTGTTTTTGTCAAATTAACTTATATTTTTATCAAATTGACGATTTTACCCTTGAAAAATCTAATGATATCTTCAATTGTTCTTATTTGGAACAAGATTTAAAATTCAGGGTCAAATGTGTCACAATTGAAAAGTCAAGGACTAAAGTGACACAAACCCCAAATTATAGGGACTATTAGTGTAATTCACCATTTAGAGTAACAAGAGACTCACTTCCACCAGTATACCCTGCGTTTGCGAATGACTCACCCGTTACTTTTTCTACGTGGCAATTGAGTTACTATTATTTTAATTAAAAAATAATATATAGGGTAAATTATAATTTAGCCTCATGTGGTTTGCCTAAAAAATACGGAACTCCTCTATAATTTCATTTGTAATACTTAAACTCTCTATACTTTTATATCAGAGTGCAAAATCTAACGGAATTGTTTGTTTAAACAGTGCGTGTGTTGCACGACCAGAACTGGTGAGTGGAGTACGTTTTTCCGCCCAAAAACATAAGGCAAATGACCAAAACACCCTTATTACCATATTTATACACAAATCAAGACCCAAACAACATAGAATCCTAAACTAAAATTTTCCCAGATTGTTCGAAAGTTGCCTAGATTTTCCCAAAGTTGAAGATTATTGTTGGATGGCTTCTTTATTTGTTTTCGAACTTGGACAGTTAAGGACAAATGCTCCAAGACTATGTTATTGTTGGAGAGAGATCCCTTGTGAAGACTTCAATGACATTTGGAAATATGGGTAGAAGGTTTTATGGTTGTTTAAGATATAGGGTAAGCAAAACTTCTTTTTTTTTTTTGGAAAAAAAGATTGAATTTTGTTTGAAAATGAATTTGTGGATTCATATTGTTTTATTATAGGTTGATGCAACTTGTGGCTACTTTGAATGGGTTGATCTATCCATGTGCCAACGTGGGAGGGAGATGTTGCCGAAGATGGTTGCAAAGATGAACAGGTTGGAGAAGGAACTAGCAAGAAGTCGTAGAATGGAGAAAATGTTTTGCAAAGCTCTGTTTGGGACATGGGTTTTTTTCTTTATCATGACAATGTTCTAGGTGAAGTTTATTGGAGTGAAGAAAAATGGGTTGTTATTGGGCCATAGAGTTTCAGACATGAAAAATATAGTTAAGGTAGAAAATGAAGGTGTACAATGGTTTGTAAAGTAATTGTAATGAAAGAATGTTTTGGTCATGAATTATATGCATCTGATGAACCAAAGAAATTGTAATGAAAGAATGTTTTGTTGATTACATCTTCCAAGAACATTAAAGAATAGCAACATATTGGTTCCCATTGTTCCCTTATTTGAAACATGCTTCATTTGTTTCATACAAAACAATTTCAGCAAGTAAACCTGTGTATTAATAAAGGTACACAAAACAAACAATAAAGTACAGAAACAACAAACAATAAAGTACACAATACTATTTAAACAAGTAAGCCTGTGGACAAACAACACAAACAATGTGTAAATATCAACTCAGAATTGTATAATTCAATTCATATTACTTTAATATAAGCCATAATTCAACTCACTGGGCTTCTCAAAACATAGTAAACTAAGATAATTGTTTACTAGCCAGTTTCAAATTCAAAAACAAATTGGCACAAGCCACTTACTGGTTTAACAAGTTGAAAAGTACTCAAAACACAACAAAAGCTGACTGAAAATAGAAAAACAGATGCCTAGTCCATCATACATTCCCTTTGCCTTTGTCAATTTGCCTCTGAGTTGTAGCTTTTGCAGACTCACCTCTTCCTCTACCTCTTGCAATGAAGTTACCTCCCAATGCAAATCTAGACATAACCCTGCTACTTCCAACTGGTTCACCCCTTATTTTGCCATAACTAGTGGGCTGCAACACACATAAGCATCCAATTACATTTTGTGAAATACTATAAAAGCAAATAAAGTTATAAGTTATGTAAAAAGCAAATGAACTTGCAAATGAAATTTGAGTATACTTGAGGTGATGAGTAATCAAATTCTGGAGAACTGTATTGAATTCTACTGGGCTGTAATGATAATGGTCCAAGTAAGCAATTATATGTTGTTAACTATGTCAAAAACCAAATGGCACCCATAGGAGAGATAGCTTACCTGAGATGCTGATATGTTGCCTGTTATACTTGGAAATTCTTCAAATGTGTGGCCAACTCTAGTGGGCTGCAATGATGTAACAAATATGCAAATCAAAAATAGAACCGGGTTGCAACGATGTAACAAGTATGCAAAGTGGACAGATATTACTTGAGATGAGGATGTATTGGCCCTCATACTAGAGAGCTTCCTTCTGGGCTGCAATGATTTATATCTGTACGAAGTTATTGTTGTGGAATGTATTGCAAAATGAAATGAAATTGGAGGTTTAGGTTACTTGATATGTTGTTGCTGTTGCTGGTGTTGATGAAGTAGTTGCAGTTGCTGTTGCTGTTGCTGCTGCTGCTGAAGGTGGTTGTTGCTGGTTACTTCTTGTTGGCTTAAAAAGCTTGGACTTGGGATGGACAGGACCTTTACAAGACCTCTGGTTGTGACCTTTCTGAAGGCATCTAGCACAAACAATGAACCTATTCTGCCTTGAAACTCTGACAGGGTTTCTTGGCTCATCTATACCCTTCTTTTCTCATTTTTGGTGGGCTTCTAGACTACTTTCTGTACAATGAAGGAGCCACTGTTGGTAGTCCTGTTTCAACCCAATCATGCTGGCCTGGAACAGGGTGCATCATTGAGTTATAGGCTACAAGATAATGTTACTTACTGTAATAAAGGTGCACATAGTCCTTTGGCTTCTCTCTTTGAACAAATATGGAACTTATTCATGTTTACAAGGTATTCCAGTCAAACCCCATATCCTACAACTACATTTCTTTTCCTCCAAATCAACAATATGTGTGGTATCACCACAATCTACTTCAAATTTTTTGTCACCACAATAGGTTGCAAAACAATTCCTAGCTTGCATTTTTAGTGCTTCTAAATCTTTGACAATGTTGGGACAAATTTCACCAGTGTATTTTTCCATCTATTCCTTCTTGATTTGGATCCTGTGCATTACCCTCCTTCTAATCCATTTAAGCATGCTAATTATGGGTTTGTCCCTAGCTTCCAAGATGTTGTTATTGAATGACTCACATATGTTGTTGACCAATGTATCACATCTAGTTCTTGGGCTGAAATGGGACCTAGTCCATAAAGTAGGATCTATCTCTCTTAGCCACTTGTATGCCTTCTCTTCTGGATCCATCTCCTTCAACTTGTTCATGTGAAATTCAAATTCCCTCACAGTCCCAATTGCAGTTGCCTTCCACAATAGGTCCTTCAATTTAATCCATTTGAACTTTGCTCTAAAATTGGAGTAAATATGCCTCATACAGAACCCATGTTTCACATTTGGCACTACCTCTTCAAATGCAGGTACCAACCCCTTCTTTTTGTCAGAAATGAAGACTTATCCCATGTCATCAGCACTATCAATATCATCCATGAGTTGCCTTAAAAATCACACCCAAGAATCTTTACTTTCTGCCTCAACAGCTGCCCATGAAATTAGAAAATAGTTGTTGTTCCCATTCCTTCCAAGTGCACATAATAATTGTCCACCATAGATTCCTTTCAAATGACACCCATCCAATCCTATAATGGGTCTGCATCCTCCAACAAATCCTGTTCTAAGGGCTGCAAACCCAACATATAACCTCTGAAAAACTGGGGGCAATTCTAAGTTGGGCCTAAGCATGTCTTAATTAGCCTTATCCACCAATACTTGCATTACACTGTTTGGATTATGCAGCCTCACTGTTTCACAGTAATCATACACCTTTGCATATTGAACCCTTTGATCCCCTTCAATAACTTCTCTTGTGTTTTTTTTAGCCCTATACAATTGAGGCCTACTAACATCAATCATTAACTTCCTCCAAATTGTCTTCTACATAGGCCAAACTTTCATGTTAGGGTTATCCCTTAACTTGTCCATATACTTATGTGCCAAGTAAATTGAGTTCACCAAGTGATTATTTTATGACCTTCCACATGCATGCTTTGGCTGGAATGATTTTATTTGAAAAGTTCTCTCACCTTGCATGGGAGAAGCATGCAATCTCCATCTACATCCATGCTTGCACACTATAGTAATCCTAAAGTTATCATTCCTTATGTACTTTATGTCATAACTATGTTGGATATTCCACTCTTTCATTGCCTTTCTAAAAATTTGAAGGGTGGCAAACTTCATTCCAAGTTTGAGTTGTGGCTTCTTCATATCTACTTCCTCAATGAACTCAGGATATTTATCTTCACATTCCTCATTTGATGAGTTATGTACACTTTGTAAATCTCCATCCTCAGGATCAGAATACCACCCTTCATCTGCCTCTTGATCACATGAAAGAGGTTGCCTTTTTCTTTTCTTTATAGTCTTTCTTGGTAAGAAAATATCATCATCTTCTGGCCTCTCTAAACCCTCATTCAACCAGCCAGGTTCATCACTTTCATAGTCTTCATCTCCTGAACCACTATCAACATTCCCATAATCCATGTAATTAGGATCATCACTATCTTCTTCATCCCAGGCTCTATTATCCATTTCCTCATCTCTAACATCTTCATCTGCTGCTTCTTCATCCCCATCTCCAGTATGCATTTCCTCATCACCTACATCTTGCATTCCATCTCTTCAATCCATCTTTTCTTCACTTATGTTTTCCATGTCATGCCAAGTCAGTGCCTGCTTAGCACTAACTGGTACTCTTGGGGGTACCAAATGTTTCCCTTTTGGACTTACCACTTATAATGGGTCCTAACCCTTCTTCACATATAATTGAATCATATCTAAACCTTTATAATCACATATCATGGTATATACATCAACATATTCTTCAATTATTGTCAACTCATCATCCAAAGTTTTTCCAGATTTCTTATACCACAAAATAGAAGTACTATAAACATCTATTTTCATCTCCCTCAAGATGGTATGAATCTCAATAAAAGACAGTTTGTCAGGATCAACATCATATATATATTCCACTTTCCTTTGTTTATAACTAATATTAGGAGGCTTACTAAAGTGCCCATTATAGTTGATCTCAAAAATCTTTTTTTTTTAACCTCATTGCAGAAAACAACAAAACTTCACAATATTACGTTATAAAAGTCAAACTCATTGGGACCACATAACAACAATCATAATCCTTGGACCACATATCAGAATATATGAATGGAATATATGAATACAACTATAGAATACCCCATTTAAAAAGTCAACATCATAAAAAAAATCCCAAAGTTAACATCATAAAAAAATATCTATTGTTTATGAACCTCTATACCCCACCCCACCCCACCCCACCCCACCCCACCCCACTTTAACCAACATTCCAAAAAAATAAAGTAATAAAAGGCATGAATACTAAAGTATACAAAAACAAATTTGTGAATAAAAAATACTCAAAGTTAACATCATGAAAAAAAATTTCCATTATTTATGAAGCTCTATTCCCTACCCCGTCCTACTTTAACCACAATTCTCAAAAATTAGAGCAATACGGGCATATCATGCCTAAAACATTACAAATTTTGTAAATCAAAGTCAACACACACTCAGTTATGAATCAAAATTAGGGAAAATCAACATCTAACAATCAAAATAAATTAGGGTAAACAACACATACCTAAACTAGTAGTGGCGTTCACAATATGATAGTGAAATTGATGATGAAACCCTAGATCAATCCAATCAACCATGGTGAGAGAGAAGATAGAGAGAGAGAGAGAGAGAGAGAGAAAGAGATGCGAATACTGTGAAACGGAACGACTGAGGGATGTAAAATATCTAGGGGCATTTATGACTTTTTACAACTTTGTTACGTTCGTTGAATTTTGCACTCTGGTATGAAGTATAGGGGGTTTAAGCGTTACAAATGAGACTATTGGGGGGCTCCGTGTTTTTGAGGCAAACCACAGGGGGTTAAATTATAATTTACCCTAATATATATGTCTATTGTTTAAACTCATTCTTTAAATTTAATAATTTTTAAGTGATATATAATTTATTAACAATCAGAGAAAATATGAGAAAGAATGTTACTTTTAATATCTTAATTGATAATTTCTTACATTTAAATTTAAAAATTGAGTCTAATTTTTTATTTTATTTTAAATAACAATATTCGTTTAATTATTATTTTAAATAAATTACATTAAACTCATGAGATTTAAAGAAAAATATTAATAATCTCATCATTTTAATATAATTATAATTACGTTTTTTTAATAATGCTTGAAGGACTGAAACTGTGAAAATGCAAAAAAAAAAAAGAAAAAAAAAAGGATATATATTGTACAGTAATAGACATGATAATATTATTTTTATTTATTTATATTACTAATGAATTATTGATGAAAATGGATTAAGATCTCGTTTGTTTTCAGAGATAAAATAGAGATGATTGATAGTGATGGGATTGTTAGTGAGGGGATTGATAGTGATAGAATTAGCAAAATTGTGTTTGTTTTGATGATAGTTGTTAGTATGAGAATTGTTAAATTATTTTTATATAAAATAAATATAAAATAATAAAACAAATAAAGCTATGATTTTTACTTAGCAAAAAATACAAAAAATATTAAACATTAATGTTAAAAAAAAATCCCAACAAGTTAAAAAAAAAAAAAAAATTACAGTTGACCGGTTAACCTGCCAGACGTCCCCTCGGACGACCAGTCACCCCTAAGCCGAACAGACTGTTTTCTTAATACCATCTCTCAGCCCAGACTCGAATCCATCCATGTTAGGCCTTTCATAATCCATTAGGACTACCAAGGCCAAAGAGAAAAACAAACATGAGCTTAGTGCGGGAGAGCTCACTGTTAGTCTAGTTCGGAGCCATAACTCAAAATTGTTATGTGAATTATAATCTTAAGAGAGATTAATGTAACTACAAAATTGTGAGACTTGCTATATTTTTTTCAAATTTAAAATCAATCCAATTTACCATAAAAAAGTTACATTTAGCGACAGAACTTAAAAAATGTTGATAATAAATACATTATTAGAGAAAACAAATTTGGAAAAAATTACAAATCAGTGTACTTTTGAAAAATAATTACAAATTCATGAAAGAATTTATAATTTTAATTATTAATATTTATAAAGTTTATAATTTATTTGTAATTATTTTTTGAAACTCTCATTGATTGATATTTCTCATAGTTTCATTCCAAAAACACACTCTATCAAATTTAATTCTTTACTAACTACTTTAGTTGAATATCAAACCACTAGTTACATGCAGTTAGGAAAAATTGACTCAGCAAATGATTTTAACTAATAAAATATTTACTATCATGTATTATATTTATCATTTAATCAATTATTACTATATTAATAACAAATATGTGTTAATATTGTATTAGTTTAATAGATTTCATCATTTATATTTGTTATTAATACAATGTAAACACATGATATTATAAATAAAATATAAACTACAAAAAAATAAAAAATAATATTTTAATAAAATAGAATACAATGTCAATCCATAAGATTATAAATAAAATATAATTAAAAAAAGGAACAAAATAAGAAAATATTTTAATAAAATAGAATTTTAAAATAAAGAGTCTGATGGAGTGTGCACGCAAAACAGAAACAAGCTAAAATATAAGAATAGATTTTGGATTATAATTTGATTTAAATTTTGCTGAGTTTGGTGTGAATGTCATTACAGGAAATATGGGTTTAGGTGGCGTTTTTTTAACGGCGTTTTTTAAAATGCCACTATTTTTAATATTTAACGGCGTTTTATAAACGTCTTATTTTTCTTTAATTGAAACGGCGCCGTTTTATGAATAGGAGGCGTTTATTTACGCCTTCAAATGCGTGTTGTCTCACGCGCCTGTTTCCAATCAATCTGAGAATCTCAACTCCCAAATTGAGCCGATGCACTCACAAATAATCTCTCTCTCCCTCTCCGCTGTCTAAACCCTGATTATCACAGATTCAGTTGCTTATCAATGGAATCCTCAGAAATCGAAGTTCTCTCTCGAAATCGAAGTGATTCATCAGAGCGATTTCGAAGTTCATCTCAGCGATTCAGATCTTGAAATCTAAGTTCATATCTCGAAATTTTAAAATTCTGAGTTCATATCACTTCGATTTCGATTTAGATCGTGATTCAGATCTCAACGATTCAGATCGGTCTCAGTGATTCATATCTCGAAATCGAAATCGAAATCGAAGTTCGATTCAGATCGTGATTCAGATATCAGCGATTCACATCGGTCTCAGTGATTCATATCTTGAAATCGAAATCGAAGGTCATCTCAGCGATTCAGATCGAAATCGAAGGTCATCTCAGCGATTCATCCCCTGGCTTCTGGGTTTCTTTTACTCTACAGCAGTTAGAAGGGGAAAATTAGTACGAGGCTGTGGATTCTGATTACTGGGTCTTTTATTTATTTATTATTAATTTTATGTTTGATTTCCTTGTATTATTTTTTATCACAGAGTTGAAAATTTGTCTAAACATAGATTGTGATCCTATTCCTCTTAATTCATAAGTCTCTCTCTCTCTCTCTCTCTCAATTACTATGCAAATGCCTTTGACCTGCATTAGATGTTTGTGGAGGTACCCATCAGAACTATTCCTTCTTCTAATCTTTTATACTGACCAGATGTAATGCCCCACTATTTCTTGTAACCCCTTGTAAACTATGTTGGATGTTACTATAATGCAACAATACTATAGTTTATGTCATGGATTTAGCGCATTCCTTAAATTTCTTCCGCATTCATTTTTTATTAAACTTCAATTTTTTGTTCCCTTGGAAATTAAATTATAACTGACGTTTAGATTTAACACTTTAACTACTTCCAAAATGGAAGCAGCGAAATGTGGGACTGGCATGGTGAGGGTTATTGTCTCCAGAAGGAAACCAATCTGGGTGAGCCTTGCTTTGCTTTTCGCTTTAATGTTAAGTCAAGATATTTGGGTAAAGTTTTGATGTGGAACGGGTTTATTGTTGTGAGCAGACATATCTCCATGCCTTTGGGATGGAGTAAGCCAGAATGAAGAAGATCTGTCCTACATGTTTGACGAAACAACACCTGTTAAGGCCTGTGGGGATTTGGCTTACCATGTTGCTGACAATGGTAGTTTTATACTTTACTAAAATGTTTCGACATTTGCTAGCTTTTAATGCTTGTTCGATTTGAAGGACACTGTTTTTTATCTGGAAAAAAATGAATTGCAGTAAACATGGACAAGGAATTACAGCAATGCACGGAGATGTCTTCACAAGTAAAGAGACGTCGAATGCTGCAGTTTGACAATGAGATTTTGGGTTCCCCTCTTTGCAATGAGGAGATATCATCTGTCTTCTTAAAATCGAAGGTTTGTGCAAGCCTATTTCCTCGTGGAAAATGTTACATGATACATCTTTTGCTGTTCTTGGGGAAAAATTCTACATAGTGGTCTTATTTTGGTTTCACACAAAAGATAATTGTTGAGATACCTGTTCTGTTGTATATTGACAATTATATGACTTCTATCTTTTGGAAGGGAAACAAATTTATCATCCACCACATATCAAGATAAATTATTTTATGATATCAACATTTTGTCAGGGGATCATTATTGGTCAATGATCATTATTGGTCAATGCAACTTCTGAACTAGTTTAGATTTGGGTTTCACCTAATTAATTTGTTCTTGCTCACTTCATTAAGGAAGTTTCAAACACTTGCATTTATAATCAAAGTTTCAGTTGAAATTACGTTTTAGTATTAATTTGTGTGATTGAATCAAGTTTCACAAAACCATTGGATCACTCTTTTTTGGTTCTTTGATTAGGAGAGAGAAGATTCGCTTGAAGAGGCTTTATCTGATATGTCGCATTGGGTGTCTGGTTTTGAAGGTTTGTCCTGTAAAGTTCTGTTCTGAGATGAATAGGTTCTTAACATTCATACATGTTTTTTTTTGTCTTGCTTGTTATAATGTGCTTAATAGAGGAAACATCTGCAACTGGTCATGAGGGCCTGGATCAGTCATCTGAGGGATGGCTAGCTGATTGCTTCAATAATGATGAGATGCATTGCAGCCCTGATGATCTGTATATATCTCTCAACTTTTCAATTCAGTCTTCTTCATCTTCTCCCTTATTTTATTAAAAAAAAAAATTATGTTTCTTTTTTGTTTATTATGTATATAAATTATGATTCAACCACTATAATATGTGGAACACAGAAATCTGTAAATGAAGTAGTAAGGTAAATTAAGCAAAAATTTAATTTATATTTTTTCATATTCTTTTTTGCTTTTATATTTTTAAAGTCATAAGCAGTGATCATTGATTCAATGATAAAATCTTGCCTTCTAAAGGTGAAATGCCATATTTACATAAATATAATGCAAAGATGGATTCCTTGTGTATTTCAATCCAAAGTTTGTTACTTCTCCCTGTTAATTTCCAATCTAAAAATGCTCGTTGGATCTAATGCTTTGATTGACACTTCCAGGTGCGTGATCTTGTGGAAGCGTCAAATATGTATGGCACTTTAAATAACGTACTTGACGTTGATGTCAAAAATGACACAGTGAGAACACAAGGAAGCCTTTCATGTAATCTACGCAGAGTTAGGCAGGGTCTCGACCTCATCAGAGCTATATTCGAAAATTTTTTGTCTTCAGAGTATGTTCCTCTCTTTTATAGTATCTTCCTTCTCTCACATCTACTAAAATGTTTCCTGGCACTTGTTATTTGGAAAAATTTATGTCCTCCTATTCAGGCTCGTTGATATAATATGTGCTTTGATGATGCATATTATTGCTCCACTAGATGTAATAAAGAATCTTTGGTTTTGGACATTGAGTAGTGTGTTACCAGATTATCTACTCTCTTGCTGTCATTCTTTTCTTTCTTTGTGTTTTGTCACTTTATGTTTAGTCTGCTTTAGATGAATCATAAATCCATAAAGATATTTTCTGAAACAAGTTGTACAATCTAATTAATTCAATGAGTTTAAATATTTCAGTGCTCTATTCCTGTTTTGCATCTGCCTGCTATTCCCATCTCAAGCTAAAGGCAAGGACACAGACAACATATTAATGAACAAAAACACACATGCAAAGCATGCCAAGAAACTTCATATTCAAGAAGCATTTGGTCTTACTAGACTCAAAGATCAACTCTAGTTCTTGAATTATTTTGTTGATGGTTTCCGACTCTGTCATCATTTATCTGATTTATTGCAATCTTTGCTTTTGTTTCTCCTTGGCAACAAAATCTCATTTATTTGATTTATTTTTTGTGTTTCTGCCACTACAGTGCCAACGGACATTTTTTTAAAATAAAAAAATCTATCACGGCGTTTTAAAAACGTCGCTAAATATTGGATGACGTCATTTTATCATTATTTATCGCATTTAGCGGCGTTTTTAAAAACGCCGCCTATACTAATTTTACGACGTTTTTAAAGCGTCATAAACTTATAGCGACGGCCGCGTCCTCGACGTTTGGTGATAAGCGTCACTAAAGGAATTAGCGGCGTTTTTCATACATATAGCGGCGTTTTTAAAACGCCGCTAAAAGTCATTTTTCCAGCAGTGTGTTGTAGTGGACAATGTGATTTAGCCTTTGTTTGACATCCTATTCTTAGGCTAAAATAGTTACAAAATGATAAAATAGGCTAACAAGTCAATACGATAAAATGTCACATCCAAATTATAATTATTTCATTTTTTATCTCACAAAAGTAAAAAAATTCAAAAATTTCATCTCAAACAAGACTTTTTAACTCAGGCTAAAATAACTAAAAAAGTTAAAAAATCAACCCACATTTCAAACGAAACGTTAACATTACATTCAACTTTGTTAAATTAAATATTTCCTAATATAATTTTTATTACGTTAATACATTTAGGTATATAAATGATGAAATAAAATTGATTATAAATAGCATCTCTCTTAACAATATTTTACTGAAATGGATTATCATTAGTTTGTGGACTGGATAAAAAGGTCTAGTTTGGCTTATTGAGAGTCTATTTTAATGATTTATTTTTTAGGTCTTGTATAAATTATCTATAAACAAAAATTAAATTAATCAAGTAATCATAATTACATACTTATGTTATCTTACTATTAAAAAATATGAAAATTTTATTTTTAAAATGATACTTGCTGTCTATTTTTTTAAAGATAATTATAATAAATTATTTAGCTACATTTATTAAATTAATTAAAAAAATTCATAAATAATTTACATAATGAGATTTCTTTTTTTGATAACCGAGTGTTCAGTTAGCTTATGCACGTTTCAATTAATCAACATGGTCTCAAGAAACATATTGCTACTAGTGAATATTGAAGCTAAAATTAAAAAAAAACACACACCCCATACTCCATTAAACCAACCCTTGAGGTTTACATAATGAGATTTAAAGGCCAAGTTTGGCATAATTGAAAAAAGACAAAAAGTCAAAAAGTCACTATCCTATTTAAGTCATATCATCTTATTTAAGTCACATCACCTCTCTAACACATCACTTCAAACCCAACACAAACCCAATCCATATTTCATAAAAAGTCAAAAAGTACACTTATTTAATCTTCCCAAACTAGGCCTTAATAGTATATCATGAAAGCAAGACGTGCACAGGCTAGTCTATTTTAATTATACAAAAAACGACAGGAGAAGACATTTTATATAGCCTCATCTCAAATAATAAAATTTCAATAAAAATAAGACCTTAGTATTTTTATATTTTTTTGGCCAAATTTATAAACTGAGACCACTGATTTATAAATAAAAAATTTACCAAACAAGTTTTTATTTGAGTTTTTAAAATTTTTGTAAATATAAATAGGAAACTGAAAATGTAAGTGTTACCAAATGACACCTCAACGTTCTTGGAATATGAATACGTAAGGTGTGTTTGGTTTGTGTTTGTAGAGTAATTTTTGAGATAAAAAGTACGAAAACTTGTTTGGTTTATTTTTTTTCAGAAATGGTTTTGAAAAATTGGTTTGGGGAGAGGGTTTTAAAAAAAGTAATTGATTTGATATATATGTGAGAGAGAGAGAGAGAGAGAGAGAGAGAGAGAGAGAGAGAGAGAGACTTTGGAAAGTAGGTAATTAAACAAAATTTTGAAATTTTTTTTGAAAAAATTTGTTTAGTTTGATTACTCTTGAAAATTTGTTTGTAGAGAATATTTCCCAAAAAATTTTCTGAAAACAAACCAAACAAGGCCGTAGAGTTTTTTGATTGGTAGAGAAAGGTCACGATTTATGTTGGGAATAAAAAAATAATATAAGATTAAATAATTAATGATTGATTTAGAATATAATCACATGACATTTCGAGATTATTGAATAATTTTTCAAAATTGACGGAGAATAAAAATCTATAAATAGATAGATGCATGGCATTGCAATAGCACCACCACATCACACGCCAATTTTAATTTTTTCCTATACATTACAGTTACACAATGCCTTCCACTACCCATCTCCCCATCCTCTTCCTCCTCCTCATCTCCGCCACGTTCACCGCCGCCAAACGATCTTTCCAGCCACGCGCCCTCCTCCTCCCAGTCACCAAAGACCCATCCTCTCTTCAATACCTCACTCAAATCAACCAAAGAACCCCTCTCGTGCCCGTAAAACTAACCGTCGATCTCGGCGGCCAATACTTATGGGTTAACTGCGACCAAGGCTACCTCAGCTCCTCCTACCGCCCGGTCCGGTGCTCCACCCCCTTATGTACCCTTTCCAAATCCAGTGCCTGCGGCGACTGCTTCGCCGCCCCCAAACCCGGGTGCAACCACAACACATGTGGTCTCAACCCCATAAACACCGTAGGCAACCGAGAAACTCCCGGCGAGTTTGCTCAAGATATTATCTCGATTCAATCCACCGATGGCTCGAACCCGGGTCGGGTCTTTATTATCCCTCGCTTGACTTTCGTATGCGGCTCTACATGGCTATTAGGGGGCCTCGCTAGCGAGGTTACCGGAATGGCCGGTCTAGGAAGGACCGACATTTCACTTCCTTCTCAATTTTCCTCCGCTTTTCACTTTCCGAGAAAATTCGCAATTTGCTTTAGCTCTTCCACTACATCAACCGGTGTCATGTTCTTCGGCGGCAACGGGACTTATGTTTTCCAACCCTACATTGATATCTCCCAATCTCTCATTTACACTCCGCTCATCAAAAACCGACGCAACACCGGTTCACCGGATTACTTCATCAGAGTAAAATCTATTAAAATCAACGGTAACAATGTTCCTCTTAACACATCATTGCTTAACTTTAAAAAAGGCCGAGGCGGAACAAAGATCAGCACTGTAAATCCTTACACAGTCATGGAAACTTCAATTTACAATGCCATCACTAATGCTTTCATCAAAGAGCTAAGCAACGTCCCGAGAGTGGCGGCGGTGTCGCCATTCGGGGTGTGTTTTAGCTCGAAAAGTATCGGAAGCACACGGGTTGGGCCGGGAGTGCCGCAAATTGATCTGGTGTTGTAGAGGGAGAGTGTGTACTGGAGGATCTTTGGTGCGAACTCGATGGTGAGTGTGAGTGACAGTGCATTGTGTTTGGGGTTTGTGGATGGCGGGGTTGACATGGAGACTTCGATTGTGATTGGTGGGTGTAAGATAAATTGATAGAGAGAGATACAGAGAGAATGAATTATGTATATTGATTTATGTATTGAATGTTGTTGATGGATGTTACAAAGGTTCAGTTGAACTCCTCTATATAGGAGAGGAGCCGAAAGTTGCAATAATAAAATAAAGTAAAAGGAAAAGAAATATACCCTACTAACAGCTGATATACATTAACATAGAATAATATACTAACAGTGGGTATCAATTGGAGGACAATCTTGTGGAGTTTGATCTTGCTAAATCGAGGCTTGGGTTTAGCTCTTCGTTGCTGTTCAGACAAACTACATGTGGGAACTTCAACTTCACAGCCAATGCTTAGCCTTAGAGAGTTCGATAATAGTGCTTGTTTTGTTTGACTTGTTACATAAAAATGGCCGTTGTTGCTTCACGCAGCCTTGCAGTTGTATCTTTTGTTTCGAATCAAAGTTTAAAACCCATAAAATCAATTGTAATAAGGGCACATCAATTGAAGGACAATATTTTTTTTAAACATACGTTATTCGTATTGACTTCATATTAATAATCAATAAAATAAAGACTACGTGCTACGGTCATACACTCAAAGCAGAATTAAACTTAGACTTTGTGTCCCCTTATTATTATTATTATTATTTTTTCATTATACAACAAACAGTGCATTATTTATTTATGTTACTTGGTCACAACTCACACAAAGTGGTGACATTACAACTTTGGTCTTATCTTATACAACAAATAACAGTACATTATTTATTTATTTATGTCCCCTTCTGCGTCTTATCTTATTATCCTCAGCATAAAACCACAGATCTCAAGACGTAGTAGTAAAATTGAAGTTACCACATGTGGTCCTAGCAAAGAACAAGGTAGAACTAAACCCCAACCTTGACTGATCCAGATCAAACACCAAGAAGTTATTCTCCATCTGGAATGCTCCGAGGACCATCGCTTCATTGGCTGCCTTTCCCCCATCGACAAACGCCAGACACGCCACGTCGGCATCACCAATCTGCTTCATGGAGTTTGCACCAAATATTGACCAGTTCTTCCCATTACTCAACTGCAAATTGTGTGGGTGATTTTCCGACCACACTGCCCGCCTAGTAATCAGCTGGAGAGCACCGGCAGAATAGATGGCTTCAAGGAACCTACAACAGAAAGAAAAGGCTCCGGCGGTGGCTCCTCCACCCGAGGGCACTCCGACGATCAAGTCAGTATATCTCTCAAAGATAATCAAGTACTAAACTCACAAGCTTGAGTATAAAACTGCGTACCTTAGACCCACGGGGTGCCTCTCTTTTATAGTTTACTAAATCCAAGTCCCACTAGAAGTCTGACTTCTATGGACTACAATCCAATGTTGACTTTGGACACTTCAAGAGATAAAGATAAACTTCCTAAGAGCTTTATCCTTATCTTAGCAAAGTCTTCTCTTTACTCTAGGACTCTTGTCCCTTATCCGCTTATCTCGGATTCCGATATCTTCGGAGATTACCTCGGCCTTGCCTAGGTAACCTCGGCAGAACTACCAGGACACGTGGCACCTTGGCTGACACGTCGGTATCACCATGCCACGTGTTGGTATTCAGAAAATACATCCCCACAACTGCCCCCTAAGTTCTATTACCTCGGCACCTTGGCATTCTGAGGTGATGGAACCTA